TGTGTCATAAATCTTATGGAACTCACCTGGTAGAAGTAGAGGTTGGAGTCCCCCAAAATGTCCTCGGACCTTCACTTGAAGACCATAGCATGCTTATGCCAATTCTTCCTCCGCAAAATAAATAAATGTTAAAAACAATGACAACAACATAGGCTTCAAAAATCCACTAAAAAAGTTACCAAGCGGACTGGAGAGATGGCTCAGAGGTTAAGAGCACTGACTGTTTTTCCAGAGGTCCTGAGTTCAAGTCCCAGCAAACACATTGTTGCTCACCAGGTACACTGTGCCAGCTTGAGAGATGCCCCCAAGAAGTAGGCAAGAGTCTCTGCACCTTGATGATGCTTGCCATGTCTGCCGTGGGAAGGCCCTGTTAACAATGAGTCCAGGAAGCCTTCTGTTTGCTGTTCTATTCTATTGTTGGTTTTGTTATTGTTTTGTTTTATTTTCCAAGACAGGGTTTTTCTGTGTAGCTCTGGCTGCCCTGGAACTCACTCTGTAGACCAGGTTGGCCTCAAGCCAGAGATTCAACTGCCTCTGCCTCCCGAGTGCTGGGGTTGAAGGTGTGCACCACCACACCTGGCTATTTATAACTAATTTTTAATATTTATATTTATTTTATTATTTGTTTGTACGTGCTGTGGGGGTGGTGACTGTGGAGGTCAGAAGAAGGCCTCAGATCCCCCCTCCCGTCTTTTTTCTTGCCGCAGCAGAACACTGTGACCAAGGCAACTTAGAAACAAAGCTCTGGGGGGCTGGAGAGATGGCTCAGAGGTTAAGAGCATTGCCTGCTCTTCCAAAGGTCCTGAGTTCAATTCCCAGCAACCACATGGTGGCTCACAACCATCTATAATGGGGTCTGGTGCCGTCTTCTGGCCTGCAAACATACACACAGACAGAATATTGTATACATACATACATAAATAAATAAATATTTAAAAAAAAAAGAAACAAAGCTCTGTTTGGGGCGCATGCCCCAAAGGTTAAAAGAGGGTTAAAGTTCACTGTGGCAGAACGACGATGGCAGGCAGTAGGCGGCTGGAGCAGCAACTGAGAGCTCACATCTTGAACCACAAGCACGAAGCAGAGAGCACACGGGGAATGTTAATCTTTTGAAACCTCAAAGCCCAGCCCAGCCCACCTCTTCCAGTGAGGCACCTGCCAACTAGGGAGCAAGTATTCAAACACCTGAGACTGATGGGAGATGGCCCATTCAAACCATCACACCCCACCAGATGGAGTTACAGGCGGTTGAAAACCCCCTGATGTGGGTGGTGGAAGAACAGGTGCCCTTAAACACCGAGATACCTGAAAATAGGGTATTGCTAATGTAGTAGTCCTGGTTGGTCTGGAACTTTTTCCTCCTTTTTCTTCTTCCTTCTTCCTCCTGGTCCTTCTTCTGAGACTGGGTCTCACTCTGCAGCTCCAGCTGTCCTGGAACTTGCTCTGTATACCTCCAACACAGAGATCTGTCTGCCTCTGCCTCTCAAGTGCTGGGGTTAGAGGTGTGCACCACCACACCTGGAAATGGAGCTTTGTTTTCTTTTTTTTTTCCTTTTGGGGCCAGAGAGATGGCTTAGTGGTTAAGAGCTCTTGGTGCTCTTGTGGAAGACCAAGGTCTGGTTCCCAGAAATCACACGGTGGCTCATAACCATCCTTAACTCTAGTTCCCGGGATCTGTCGTCTTCTCCTGGCATCCCTGGGCAGCAGGCATGTACTGGATGAACATACGTGCATTCATATAAATAAAATCAAGCTGGGTGGTGGTGGTGCACTCCTTTAATCCCAGCACTCGGGAGGCAGAGGCAGGCGGATCTTTGTGAGTTCAAGGCCAGCCTGGTCTACAAGAGCTAGTTCCAGGACAGGCTCGAAAAACCATAAATAAATAAATAAATCTTATAAAAATGTATAAATAGCATAAAAAGTTCATTCTGCCTGGCAGATGCTACCACGGTTGGCTAGTTCTTCATTTTAACTGTAAAGGCCCTAGACCTATATAATATACTCTGTGGCCCTAGCACTCAGGAGGCTGATCCTTCAGGATCTTGAGTTCAAGGCCAGCTTGGGCTACACAGTGAGCCCTGGTCTTCAAAAGAAGTCCAGTGATGGTGGTGCAAATCTTTCTTTAGTCCCCACAGTTGGGAGATAAGAGATAGGTGGATCCTTGAGTTTGACACCAGCCTGGTCTACAGGGTGAATTTTAGGACAGCCAGGACTATGTAGAGCCCTGTTCCAGAACAAAACAAAACCCTGTATCTACATCATCACATTCTGAAGTGCCATGAGGCAAAGCTTCAGTATATGGCTTTGGGAAGGGGAGGACACAGTTCAGATCTTATATCTCAACCAGGCATGGCTGTACGTGCTTTTAATCCCAGTATTTGAGAAGTAAGAGGCAGGAAACTCGAAAGTTCATGGAGAATTCCATGCAGTCTGAACTACAGGAAAACTGCCTGTAAAACAAAAAGAAGGGGGAGGAGGATGAAGGAGGGGGAAGAGGATGAAGGAGGTGGAGGAGGAGGGGGGAGAAGGAGGTGGAAGAGGAGGAGAGGGAAGAGGCCTTGAACTGCTACTGCAAAGTCCATTCTGCCAATTTGATGACATTTATTGACATGTTTGGGGGACTCTAATGCGGACATCTTTGTGAGTACTATTCTTTTGTCAACACAAGCAACTGGGCAAGGGGAGAAGGGCTGTGACACCCACTGGATAATGTGCTGTCAGGAAGATAAGAGTTGAGGTTTCTGACCCCAGTTCATGCCCTAGCACCTGAGAACCTCTTGGTGGGAGAAGGGATAGGCAGAGAAACGGTGGTTTCATCCTGAAAATCGGAACCTGGGACATCCAAAGCTTTAGATAAAGAGATTGTCCATTCCCAGTGCCCAAGGAGCTGTGTGAGACCTCCCAAACTATATTGGGGGCAAGAAAAGAACAAGGAGATACCAACGTCATTTACGCCACTGCCAGCAAGTAAAAGCCGGGCTGCAGCTCTTAAGTCCTGATTGAAGAGAAAGAACTAGGCCAAGGAGTTGGTCCAGCTGGTCAAGATACCTGCTGCCAAGCCTTAGTGACTTGACCTCTGCCCCCAGAGCCCCACAGGATGGAAGAGAGAGCTGCCTCCTAAAGGTTCTCTGACCTCCACACAGGGGCTGTGGCATAGACATGCACACATGAAGTAAAGAAGAACCTAATAAAATTTTTCAGTGGGAAGAGAGTGACCATCATTTTTCTACTTATCTAGAATTCACATTTAAAGTCTCCATCCTCATCGGACAAAGGTTGGCCCTGCCAAAAAAAAAAAAAAAAGGTTGGCCCTAGGGGATCCCAGAGGAAATGTCCTGGACAGGGTCACCCTAAGAGATATGTGACCAGTACAGTCTTACAAGGGCCCAGACTGTGTAAAGGCATGCGTGTGTACATGCATGTGGAGGCCAGAGGTCAACCTTGGGTATTGTTCCTCAGCAAATGTCCACCTTACTTTCCATTAAGATACTTTTTTACATTTGTTTATTTCTTGTGTATATACACTTGCTTACCCACGAGCACGCACGGGGAGGAGCTGACTCCTCCCACTGTGTGGCCAGACCTTCAGGCTTGGGAGCCAGTGCTCCCGACAGAGCTGGAGCTGCTCAGTGGTTTAAGAGCTCTTGGTGGCTCATTCTTTCAGGGACCCAGCACACACAATCAGGTGGCTCACAGCCCCCTGCAACTTTGGCTCCAGAGGATCCATCATCCTCTTCTGGACGCCAAGAGCACCGCAGTCCCATGTGCAAATAATCACACATGTACACGCAAAATTTCAAAAGGCTTTCCACAAATCTCTGGGTTTTCTTTTCTTTAAATAAAAGGCAGGGTTCCTCACTGGGGGCTGAGGTTCCCGGATTAAGCTAGGCTAGTTGTCCAGTGGGCCCCAAATACACCTCCCCAGCACTGGCACTGACAGTTTGTGCCAACACACTCAGCTTTACGTGACTGGACCCAGGTCCCCAAGGCAGGCACTTTACCCACTGAGATGGATTTCCCCTTCTGACCTTGAACTCTCAGTCCCCCTGCCTCGGGTCTCCCAAGTGCTGGGATTACCCCTGTGAGCCACCATGTCTGGCTCTGGTCATGCTTTATCTGTTTGGCTTGTTTCATTTTTCCAGCCAAAATTTCTTTGTGTATCCATGGCTGCCCTGGAACTGGCTCTGTGGACCAGCTATCCTCCTGCCTCTGCCCCCTGAGTGCTGGGACTAAGGGTGTGCGCCACCACTGCCCCCCCCCCCCCCCCCCCCCCCCCCCCCGCTTCTGTTTTTTCACTTACGCTTTCACTCTGCACCAAGGCTTTTTTACTCAGGGTCTCACGGCGTAGCCCTGGCTGCCCTGGAATTCACTGTGTAGACCAGTCTGGCCCCAACTCACAGAGATCTACCTGCTTCTCTCCCAGCCCCAGTCTGGCCCCAACTCACAGAGATCCACCTGCTTTTCTCCCAGCCCCACTCCCCCAGCCCAGTGCTGGGATCTACAGCCTGCGCCTCCGAACTTCGCTTGTTTTGTTTGTCTGTTTTGTTTTTAAGCTGTGTATGGGTAGTTGGCCTGCAGATATGGCTGTGGAAGACAGAAGAGGGCATCTGATCCCCTGGAACTGGAGTTATAGATGGTTGTAGGACTCCATGCAGGTGCTAGACACAGAACCAGTGTCCTCTGCAAGAGCATCCAGTGCTTTTAACCACAAAGGCATCTGGAAAACCTGTGGGAACTGGCTCTCTCCTCCACCACGTGTGTCCTGGGGGCTGAACTCAGGTCATCAGGCTGAGCATGCACCCCTTACTACTGATCCCATCTCCCTTCCATTATCTTTAGGCTGTTTCCTTAGGCGACAAAACAGCTATTTTCCCCATGGAGATAGCATCTTCAGACACGCTGTCAGGTGCCTTCTGTCCATCCTAACCTAGGTCTCAAGGCTGGTGTGAGGAGTGGGGATGGTATGAAGAGGAAGCAAGACCGCTTACAGACAACAGATGTTACAGATTTGTTTGTTGACATCTAATTCCCTCGGGCCTCCCACCAGAGACCACCCACTAAGAGATCCAGACAGATCCCAGCCTAGGTAGTCTTTAGATATGGAGGACTTTGCTACTGAGGCAGAAGGACCAGTAATGGGAAGAAAGCCACTTTCTGGATAAGAGACAGTATGACGGTCGCACTGAGAAAACAAGGCTCTCCTACATTGCAGAGCCAACGGTGTTAATGAGAATAGGCAGCCAGAAGAGATGCATGGGGCACCTCCTTTCGCCTGCACCACTCAAATAGGGAGACAGGAGAATCATGTCGGACCCAGGTAGGGCTTCGCGCCTCAAAAGTTATTGTCTATGTTCCAGACATCGCCACTGAGCGCGTTGGCTGCCCCCTGCAGTGTCCACGTGAGCAGCGCCAGCTGGCGCCGGAAACGGCTCTCTTGGAACCCCAGACCTCCTGGTGCCAGTCTGGAAGAGTTGGCCTTGAAGCCATCGGAGCGCAGCATCCGCAGGTGGTCGAGCAGGGCACCCAAAGTGTGGTCGCCTTGGCCCAGGAAGATGTGGCGGAATGGGGAGTCAGCCGGCGACACATACTGGGACAGGCAGTAGAACTCCACCTGCATGAAAAAGTGAGGGCAGGTCTAGATGCCAGGGTGTCCGTGGCTGAAGGCTTCAATCACTCCTCCGTCCAACCGGTCCTAACCCACCCTGAGGCCCTCTGGTACCTGCTTCGCGGAGGACGGATCTTGCACACTCAACATCTCTCGTGTGTGCATGTATGTGTGTTGAGGCCAAGGCCAATAGCTAGCAAGTCTTCCTCAGTCACGCTCCACAGTACTTTTTGAGACAGGGTCTCTCACTGAACCTGGAACTTGCCAATCTGGCAAGACTATCTGGCCAGCAAGCCCCGGGCTTCTCCTCCGCCTTCCCAGTTTGAGGTCCAGGCACCCACCACGGAGTCTGAGTTTTACATATGTACTGGTGCTTTGAATTCAAGACCACATGCTTATATGGCAAACACTTTACCAACCGAGCCCGAGCCCTAGCCCTGTTTGCTTTCCTTGAAAACAAAGACACACTATGTAGCCCTGGCTAACCTGTAATTCACTATATAGACCAGACTGGCTTCAAGCGCACCTTGCCATTTCCTTCTCTCTCTCTCTCTCTCTCTCTCTCTCTCCCCCCCCCTTCCTTCCTCTCTCTCTCTCACTTTCTTTCTTTCTTTTTTCTTTTGTTTCTCGAGACAGGGTTTCTCTGTGAGGCAGTCCTGGCTGTCCTAGAACTTACTCTGTAGACCAGGCTGGCCTTGAACTCACAGAGAACTCACATCTGCCTCTGCCCACCCCACCCCCGTGCTGGGATTAAAGGTGTGCGCCACCATTTTCTTGACTCAGCCTCAGGAGCCCTGAGATTGTGGATTTATAGGCGAGCAGCATTTATACCATTTAAAATGTCTATTCAAGAGTCCATGTGTGCTCATGGCTTTGGCCAGAACTTCAGTGGGCACAGCTTCCAGGTCACTTTGCCAAATCACTCATAGGCGCCTACTCTACATAATTAAGGGCTATCTGGACATAACTACACATATGCCAGCATCAACTTCTTCTTCTTCTTTTTTTTTTAGTTTTTTCGAGACAGGGTTTCTCTGTAGCTTTGGAGCCTGTCCTGGTACTAGCTCTTGTAGACCAGGCTGGCCTCGAACTCACAGAGATCCGCCTGCCTCTGCCTCCCGAGTGCTGGGATTAAAGGCATGCGCCACCACTGCCCGGCCAGCATCAACTTCTTAAACATGAGATTCAGAGGCTGGGGGAGGGGTGGACAGGGTCTCATCATGTAGCCCAGGTTAGCTGTCTCAACCTTCTAAGAGATGGGAGTACAGGCACCTCCACGCCTAGTTGTTTGGTACTAGGGACGGAGCCCAGGGCTTCACACATACCAGAAAGCACTCCCATCAACTGAGCTACAGCCCTAGCCCGTTTTACTTTTTCCTCTTTCTCTTTCTTTTCCCTTCTCTCCTTTTTTCCACCCCTCTTTTTCTTTCATAGTATTGAGCATAGGCTATGGCCTCAGAGTCCCTTGTCTCTAACTTTGGCTCCACCACTTACTTCCTGTGTGATCTTGGGTAAGTTACTTAGCTTCTCTGAGTCTTAGCATTGGCCTACACTCCTGCCAACCTCACGGAGTCAAGGAAGTCCTGCTATTGAACAAATGAAAGAACGTCGCTGGCCTCTGGTAGCGCCCTACAAATGTCAGCTGCTATTATCATTATTGAACTCATCTGTTTTCCACACCCTGCCCATACATTTTTCCTGCTAAATGACTCCTGTCAGTCCAGGCGCCCCCTACAGGCATTTGTCAGCACCTGTGGCTGGTATCCAGGACGCAGCCTTCATGAAGTCCATTTCCTCCGCAGGCCATTAGTGCTCCCGCCAGAATCCTTTAAACACACTATGTTTGCCACCTGACCTCCTTGCAAGAAATTTTCATGATGCCTAGACACACAAAATCCAACTCCTGAGCCTTGCCTGTAATCCCGGTTCCTTGGAGGACTGAGGCATGTGGCTACAAAGGTCGGCTACAAAATGAGCTCAAGACTACTCTGGGCAATTTAGCAAGACTTTCAAAATGTAAAATGAAAAGCCGGTTGGAGGCACAGCTTGGTGATAAAGCCCCTGCCTAGAATCTCCTAGTGAGGGGCTGGTGGTGTGGCTCAGTGGTGGAGCCCCTGCCTAGAATTCCTCAGTGAGGGGCTGGGGGCGTGGCTCAGTGGTGGAGCCCCTGCCTAGAATTCCTCAGTGAGGGGCTGGGGGCGTGGCTCAGTGGTGGAGCCCCTGCCTAGAATCCCCCAGTGAGGGGCTGGGGTGTGGCTCAGTGGTAAGGCATTTATTTAACATGCACAGTACCCTAATTTGATCCCCACTACACACAAACACACAAAACCCCAAATTCCCTCAGCTATGCAAAAGCTCCCCACATTGGTCCCTGTTCAGTGCTCCACAGGGTCTCTGGTTCACCTCACAAGAAGGTGAGGTGGCAAAATGGAGTTAAAGGATCCATGCACAGCTCCCAAGAAAGGCGAAGTCCATTTCCCCGCCTCATCCTCCACCCTGAAAGGTCCTCTTTCTTTTGCATCAACCGCGTCAACCCGGGTTTTGCCTGCTCTTTAAACCACAAAGTCTAAAGCAGAGGTCAGCACACTTAGTTTCTGCAAAAAGCCACGGAGTAAATACTTTAGGCTTTGCAGTAGATAGCAAAGAGGAAGGCCTTCCCTATCCATTTCATCCCCTGGCAGAGTCTGCGAAAGTGACGGGTCGGCTCTTCTAGCCTGGCTGGTTTAGGGACCCTGTATATCCGGTGGTATAGTACGCCCCAGGACAGGGAAAGCTTAAGGGACAGAGCGCTTTAGAACGCCAGGTCCTGGGGAAAGGGACCTCAGACCAGAAGCGGGCGGGCGGGAGCAGGGCCTCACCCTCATGATGCGCACGTTGTACATGCGCATCAGACGCTCGTCGCTCTGCTCCGAGCTGTAAATCTCCTTCCGCAGCTTCTCCGCCGCCCGGATGTAGTCCCCCCTCGCGGAGTACACCCACTGCAGGGTCAGTCCGCGGGCCTGTGGGTGAAGCACAGTCTGAGACCGACAGATTGGTGCCAGCACCGATGCCTAGGGTGGGCTCAAAGAGCTGGCAGGAAGGGGGAAGAGATGCAGGGAGGAGATCAGGCCTTTGACTTTAGAGAGGGCGGATCCCAGGGACTTGGGTCGGACTGGCTGTGTCCTCGGGAATTAGGTGACTGGAGGTAGAAATAAAAAGGGTCAGACTGCAAGACAGGACCTAGATCTCAGGGCTGGAGAGAGGAGACGCCAGCCACCCCTAGAAATGAAGCGTCCCCTAAAGGCTGGGAGCAGGATTGGCATCTTGGACCTTGAGATCCCCAGAGAACTCGTTGAGGTTGCCAATGTGCCTGAGGACCACATCCCCATAGCGGCCAAAGTCGAGCGGCAGCAGGTGATCGTGGCTCAGTCGGATAAGGAGCTGGCCCGCGAGCTGAGCCACCGCCTGGGCCACGGCGGGCAGGCGACCTCGCAGCATCTTGTGCAGATTCTCATAGGTGTCCTCCTTCGTGTGCAGGAACGGGTACTCCCGATCATCCTGCCGGGACATGGAAGGGCTGGGCGCAGGAACGTGGTGCTGAAAGGCTGGGGGCCTGGTGTCCTGGGGCAATGGCTCCGGAATCTCACCTCCATGAAGGAGAACTCCACAGCCGGGACCCCCGCAAAAGCCGTGAAGGAATAAGCACTGCTGTCCATGGGCAGGGGCCGAATCCTGGGGGCAGGCAGGTTGGAGGCCTCTGAGGACTCAGTTTCCCCTCAGCCTCCACCCCCAGTCTTTCCTTCAACTTACACTTCGGCATCCCAGTTGGGATTGGTGAGCTGCACTTGCTCGAAGAGCGTCTGTCCGCTGTGGTTAGGGGAATCCACCTGTGGCAGGAGGATGAGGGGCACAAGTCAGGCTGTGTCCTCTTCCGGTCCCACCATCTTATCTGCCATCCCCAGTCCCGATCCTGTCTTGCCTGCTTCAGGATGTTCTCAATGAGGCTGATCAGAAGGGGGCTGGTCTTGGCGTGAAATTTGCCATCTCCTGAAGGAAGGGAGGGGGAGGAAAGACAGGCTCAGAGAGAGTCAATGGCATAGGTGGACCCGCGGGGCGGCCAGGAGGTAACATTGCCCAGCTCACCCAGCACTGAGTTGTCCAGGCTCACGTACACTACGGCTTTGAGGTGTAGCACGCTGAGGTAGCCCTGTGGATTGGGGGAAGAAACGTGGAGAAGGAAGGTTCCTCCCTCCACCCCTCCGCATTACCTGGTTTCTTGCCCAGAGCCCCAAGTCACCTCCAACCACTCCATGGATCCCACGCTGCCAAAGTCTCCTCCATCCCAACTGATGAACAAGAGGCTTCTTCGAGGTTTGAACCCTAGATGCAGAGGAAAGAAACAGGGGTCAGCACTCTCTTTCATCCTTCTCCATCCCTGTCCCTAGAGGGCCTCTCTTCACCAACCCAGCATCCTAGCCCTTCTTACGTTGGATCCCCCCTGACTTGATAATAATACCTTGGGGTGACGTCTAAAGATGCCATTTCTTGCTTAATCGACACTCAGGCCATTGACACTTAACACAGTCTTTATTTAGTTTTCAAATTTTTGAAAATTTATTTGTGTGTGTGTGGGATACACACCCACCACAGAGAGGGAAAGCGGAGGTCTGTGGGCACTTGCAGGAATCTGGTCTCTGCTACCACCATGTGGATTCTGGGACTCCCGCTCAGCCTCAGGCTCGGCAACGAGTGCCTACTGTTGCCATCTGGCTGCCCTTATTTGTTGTTTTAAGACAGGGTCACACGTAGCCCAGGCTAGCCTCAAACGGTAAAAGATGATGGAATAACAGGAGTGGACCGTGCATCTGGCCTAGTCAGTGCCTGAGGTCAACAGGCAAATGGAGTTTCCTTTGGCATCCTCACACTTGAGGGTCATTGTGCTTTGTTCTAATTAGTCCCCTCCCCTACCGTGTGCTTGGTTGTCCCCTCAATAGCCTGGCACCTTTCTCTCCCTCCCTCCTTCCTTCCCTCTCTCCCTTCTTTCTTTGCAGTGCCAGGGATTAGACCAAGGGCCTTTTGCATGTTAAGCAAGTTCTCTACCACTAAGATACGCTATATATACCTTTTTTAAAAACAATTTTATTTTTTATGGTTTTGTCTTGAAACAGGGTCTTGCTATGTAGGCTCGACTGACCTCAAACTCACAGGGACCTTCCTGTAGAGTATTAGGGATAAAGGCATGTGCCACCATGCCTGGCTTTTTTTTTTTTTTTGGAGGGAGTATTATTTTTTTCAAAGATTTATTTAGGGGCTGGAGAGATGGCTCAGAGGTTAAGAGCATTGGCTGCTCTTTCAAAGGTCCTGAGTTCAATTCCCAGCAACCACATGGTGGCTTACAACCATCTGTAATGAGGTCTGGTGCCCTCTTCTGGACTGCAAGCATACACGCAGACTATTGTATACATAATAAAAATAAATAAATATTTTAAAAAATATTTATTTACATTGGGGTTTTGCCTGCATAAGTCTGTGTGAGGGTGTCAGATCTGCTGGAACTGGAGTTATAGTCGTGAGCTGCCATGTGGGTGCTGGGAATTGAACTCAGGACCTTTGAAAGAGCAGCCAATGCTCTTAATCACTGAGCTATCTCTTCAGCCTGTTGTTTTGTTTTTTGTTTTACGAGACAGACTCACATAGCTCCAACTGGCCTAGAGTTCATTATGTCTTTGAGAATGACCTTGAAATCTCAATCTTCCTGCCCTAGTCTCCTGAGGGCCAGAGTTACAGGGATGTCTGGTCAACTCATTTAAAAAATTAAAAGTATTTTTGTGTGTATGTGTGTGTGTGTGCATACATACGGTGGCATACATGTAGAGGTGAGGGGACCGCTTTGGGAAGCTGGATCTCTCTACCATGTGACTTCCGGGGAATCAAACTCAGGCCAATGGACTTGGTAGTAGTGTCCTTACTCACTAAGGCATCTCGTCAGTCCCCAGGCTAACACGTTGATGAGGAAATAGCATATTGGCGAAGCTACTTGCCCAGATCCACACACTGGATATTCCAGTCGTGGGACTCGGAGCCCAGTGACCTCTCTCCAGGATATGCTGCCAACTACCTTTGACCTAGGCCTAGCTCAGGCATGTCACAGCCCCACTCACGCAGGTCTGGGCTCTGATCTTACCGTTGCTGACCATGGAGGAGAAGGTCCGCACCAGCTCCAGCAGGATGGCAGTTCCCACTGCAGACTTGGCTGCTCCTGGACCCCATGCATCCCTCTGGGCCCCGATAACAACATAGTGATCTGAGGAAGATGTGTGGAGCCCACGTCTTAAACTGACAAGGTCTCCCCATGCAGATCTGGAGGCTGGGTGCTCCCAGAGCCTCACTCGGTCCTCTCCAGACTCCCCCATCCCAGCTTCCTTGCCCGTAGCCCCTCCCATTTCTACACCGCAGCTCTCTAAACCCTGCTGGGTCAAAAGCCCATGCCCATCTCAATAGGCCCTTGCCCAGACGGACTGATCGATCCATCAATAGGCATTTGGAGATTCAAACACACAGGTACCCCCTCCCCTCTTACATCCGGAGACAGGATCTCATGTAACAGAGTCTGACCTCAAACTCATGATTTTCCTGCCTCCACTTCTTCCCAAGTGCCAGGATTACAGGCATGCACCACCATACCAGGTTGTACGTGGTGCTAACAAGAAACCCAGAGTTTCTTCCATGCTAGGCAACCACTCTGTCAGCTGAGTTACTGCTGTTAGAGGGGGACATTCTATTTTGCTGGAGTTTGGGGCTGTCTTTTTGTTTGTTTTTCTTTGTATTGTACACTGGCCTTGAACATCTGATTTCCGGTCTCTAGGTGTGTGCCACCACTCCTGGCTCCTTCTTCTGCTTAATACAGGCTCTCTCAAAGCCTAGGCTCTGCAGCCTAAGCTGACCTTGAACTCATTGACCTCCTGCGTCAGACTTTTGAGTCCTGGGATGACAGATGTGGGCTCTGATGCCTGACTAACCCTAAAGCATTCTGGGCTCCCTTCTCTCCCTGGCCAGTCAGGTTCTGCACCTTCCCTGCCTGCTTTCCTCTCCCCAGCTCTTCTGTGCCCAACTCCCACCTCCAACATCCTCCTCTGTGTGTCCCTCAGGTCTCTGCTTCTCCCTTGACACCTGGACAGTGAAGGGTTTCCCAGGCCTGCCCCACCCCGCAAAGTCTGCTCAGCAACCTTTGATTCCCCAACACCAGAGTCGTCTGTCCAATCTGGCCTTTGCTTGAGGACTGGATACCTAGTACAACATCCTCCAACACACGCGTGCTCACGCCCAGAGTGTGGGGAGCTCACTATTAAACAATACTACCCATTTGGAGGGCTCCTCACTGCCACCCCTCATCAGTCCCCGCTCAGCCTCCATTCTCTGGACATCACTCCTGGCCTTCTCCAGGGCCTCCTGTGCCAGTCTTCTCTGGTTGGTTAGGAGTGGAACCTCCTAAGCTGTGGGGGATGTGGGCAGACAAGCCCACCTGGCTCTGCGAAGCCCTCGATGCAGGCAAAGATGTTGCTGATGGGAGTCGAAGCCCTGTGGTTGTTGACCACCAAACGCAGGCGTGGCCCGGGTCCCAGCCGATAAGGGGAGACTGGAAGGTGACCTTTCCATTCCTGGGGGGCATCAGGGCCTTTGAGTTTCCTGGAAAGTGGCGGAGCAGCAAAGTGTTGCAGGGATACCGCGACCTAGGCCACACGAGAGCCTCGAGTCCCCTTTCCTCCTCTCCTATTCCTGGGGTCTGGCTCGAGACCTTTGTCTCTGTACCTTACCCAATAGAACAGTACAGCCTGGGGCTGCCACAGGCAGTGGCATAGGCTGTGCCCTGAGCGAGGGTCCTCAGCACTAGTGGGTGTACCAGATGGTGAGGCCTCCTCTTCCTTTTGGGTGTGTATGCAGGTATGTGTGTGGAGATGTGTGTGCACATGTGTGCACATGTGTGCAGAGGCCAACCTCACATCTTGCCCTCAAGTGCTAACTACATTTTTGTTTTTTTAAAAAAAAATATTTATTTATTCATTATGTATACAATATTCTGTCTGTGTGTATGCCTGAAGGCCAGAAGAGGGCACCAGACCCCATTACAGATAGTTGTGAGCCACCATGTGGTTGCTGGGACTTGAACTCAGGACCTTTGGAAGAGCAGGCAATGCTCTTAACCTCTGAGCCATCTTTCCAGCCCCCCTTTTGTTTTTATTTGTAAGTTTATAACACACTTTCTTGTGTGTGTGTGAGTGTTCAGCACGTGTGCCACAGCATCTGTGTGGAGGTCAGAGGACAGCTGCAGGTGTCCGTCCTCTCTGAGTATGTGGGGCTTGGGGTTGGTTTTCAGCCTTGCTGGCAAGTGCCTTTACCCATTGAGACATCTATATAGGTCATTTGTGTGTGTGTGTGTGGGGGGGGTCAGGATCTGCACATGGCATGAGGCTCACTAAGTTCCCTAAGTTGGATGCCAGTGTGAGCTCCAGGGACCCACCGGTCTTCCTCTCCAGTGAGGGACTGCATGCACACACTTAGATTTTTTTTGTTTTGTTTTGTTTTTGAGAAAGGGTTTCCCTGTGTAATAGTCCTAGCTGTGCTGGAACTCGCTCTTGTAGATCAGGCTGGCCTCAGACTCACAGGAATCCACCTGCCTCTGCCTCCCAAGTGCTGGGATTAAACCCATGCACCACCACTGCCTAGCTGGTTTTGTATGTTTTTAAAACAGGCTCTGGTGACGGAAATCAGGTCCTCATACTTTAGTGGCAAGCCCTTTACTGACAGAACTATGTCCCCAGTCCCAGGGTCATCTAATTCACCCAAGGAACTCTTCAGTAACACCCCACCCGACACACACACACACACACACACACACACACACTTTTCATCTCTTACTTGAGCAAGAGGTCAGCAACGTCTGCACTGATGGGTTGGGCAGGGATACTGGGAAGGCCTGATGATTCTACGGGAGGGAACTGGGTTTGATTGAAGGAAGGGAAGCCAGGTGTATAAGGGTCTCCGGTTCCCAGGTGCACCTAAAGAGAAAGGGGTAGCAACTCTGAAGCTGGGCTGGACAAGCCCCATTTGTAGAAGGTAGTCTGGCTTCCCCTGAGACTCACATGTCCAAATACAGCCTGGTGTCTGGATAGGCCTGGCTTGTGAGGGTCCTGGGAGAAATCTGCTGGGTCCGGGTATAACAGCACTCCGTGGGCCCCAAAGTCCTGGGCAGTGGCTACCTGAGGGGAGCACAGAAAAGCAAGAGAAGGCAAACTGGCTCCTTTCGTCTGCCGCTGTCATCCTGAAGGGACCGTGTGTAAGTGTGTGTAACTGTCACTTGGCACTCACATTGTAGCCCTCCCTCGGTGCCTCTGTAGGATTAAAAAACCTGCGTACCCGGGGCTGGAGAGATGGAACACGGTTAAGAGCGCTCAACGCTCTTCCAGAGGACTTGGGTTTGATTCCCAGTACCCAAATGGCAGTCACAGCTGTCTGTAACTCCAGTTCCAGGGGATCTGACATCCCGTCTGGCCGCCACAATCACCAGGCACATATGCAGTGCACAGACATATATGCAGGCAAAAACCACCAATACATTTACTAAAATAATTAAAAAAAAAAAAAAAACCTCTGTGCAAGCCAGGTAATGGTGGCGCACACCTTTAATCCCAGCACTCAGGAGACAGAGGAAGGCAGATCTCTTGGGCTACAGAGAAAGTTCCAGGACAGCCATGGTTATGCAAAGAAAGCCTGTCGGGGGGGGGGGGGGGGATTGAGATAGGTTCTTGCTGTGTAGCCCAGGCAGGTCTTGAATTAACAATCCTCCTGCCTGAGATTCCTAAATAGCTGGGGTTACAGGTTACATCCTGCCTGTCTTCCGACAACATTTTCTTAAGATGTGCCTGATTTTTCTTTTCTCCCTATGACAGCCTCCTAGATCCTTCCCATGAAGACACGCCTACTCCCCAGACCACTCGCCTCACTTCTCACGCTTTTTGGGACCCTCACCTTCTGGGCAAAGCTGGTAATCCCAACGCGCACTAGCAGGAGGCTGCCTGCCAGCTCCACACCCTTGGCTCTCAGGTCCTGCAGATCCTCCTGCCGCCCGTAGTGGGCGTACACCAGCTTGCCCTGGGAACCGATGGATCTTTGAGGCACAGTGCCCGTATCCCAACTCGGCTACCCACCCAGGACGTGATAGGCTCCCCATGCCAGGAGCCGGACCCGAGGCGCTCACCGTGGCGTTGCCGGTGGCGCTGTAGGGACAGTAGACTTCCGGATCCTCCAGCGGTAGCTGCTCCTGGGCGCTCCCGGCTGCATCCACCCAGTGCAAGGTGTTAGGGTGAGCCCTGAGGACGGGGAGGGTGAGCACGCCCCGGCTGTGCAACCCCATGACATGTCCCCTTGTTGCGTTCCCAGACTCACGGGTCCGGCAACTGAAGCCCCACGTAGTGCGTGTCAGTCCACACGTGGTTCAGCTTGTGGCTCGAGAACTGGTCGAGAATATCTTGCACCAGAGTGGCCATCCTGGCTGAGCCGGCCATGCGCTCCCGGAGGCTGGTCAGCCTGAGCAGAGAAAGATCGCACTGGGAGGAGGGGGGGGGGGAGGTGCAGGAAAGGGACTCCCACGTACCCATAGAAGTAGGAAAAACGCAGGCATGGAATGGTATTTAATGTGTCCCGGGCTAGCCTCAAACTCAGGTAGAAAGCATTTGAAAGATTTGGGAGGTGGAGGCAGGAACATGGGGGCTTCGGGACAGGACCTCACCTTGTCTGCTTCCATGGTCATTACCCAACAAGAAACTGTCACCTAAACTCGACCTAGTCTGCCTTCTCACCTCGGGCGGGCTTGTGCTGCCCTCTCAGGGTTTGTTACCAAGGTCTATCTGTTTATCTTTGTAGGGGAAACAAACTACCTTCCTTGTTTATCACAAAAGTGCGGCCTTGACAGAGACCTGGCCATTCATGGGGTGGTCACATCTCCCATGGGTCTCTTGGGTTTTCCGACCTCCAGTGTTGGGATGGAGGTGCTTCTGTCTCTCTAACTCTACTCCCCCACCCCTCCTTCCCTTGTGGAGGATTCTAGGAAATTACTCTAGTACTGAGTCACTGGGGTCACCCCAAAATACCTTTATATTTTTTTTTCTGTTCTATTTTAGACAAGGTTATGCTGAATTGCCAAGGCTAGCCACAGGCTCACCTGAAACCCAGGTAGGCACAGAATTTCTCTGTTTTAGCTTTCGGATAAGTTAGAACCTGGTTCTCGCCTCCCATTTCTGGGACCCCAGGGATTGAACTCTGGTTGTTGGACTTGGCAGCAATCACCTTTACGAGGTGAGCCATCTCGCCAGCTCTGAGCTTTTGACATCACATTTTGACGACACCTTTTGAGGTTCCGGTGTCCTCCCTTCATCCTCAGTGTATTTGCCAGTCTGTCTGTCTGTCTGTCTGTCTGTCTGTCTGTCTTGGGAGGAAACATTTTCGCTGGCTCACATCTCCAGAGCTGTTGAGGTGTTGTCTTTTTCATCCCTTCCTACGTGGTAGAGGGCGTGAACTTAGGGAAATGTGGCAGTAGGTAGCCCTACCCACGTTAGCTTTCATAAGATTTTTTTGGGAGTAGGGGGAGTTCAAGGACGGCCTTGAACTCCTGATCCTCCTGCTCCCGCCTCCCAGGTACTGGGATCACAGGTGTCAACCACCACACTTACTTCTTGACATCTGAGGGATCAGAGTGAGTACTCTGTCACCGGAGCTCTAGCCCCAGCCTCAGTCTGGGGGTCCTCTAGGAAGACAAAGCCATCTATGATGATCACCCTACTGTGGGGCAAAAGCTACACCATGATCAGGCTTGGGAAGGAAACGTGTGGGTCCAAACGGCTGAATAAACATTAAATTAATTAAACATTAATTAAAGACAGGACTAGCTTCGCTTTGATCATCGGTGTAGAGGAGGAGGAAAGTCCAGGTACACACCTGTAATTCTAGCATTTGGGGGAGGGTGCTGAAGGGAGAGGACCTCAAGTTTGAGGCCAGCCTGGGCTACATCGCAAGACCTCATCTAAACAAAGCTAAAAGCAAAACAAATAGAAGGAATAGGAAGAAGGGCTAGTGATGCAGCTCGGTGGCAGACTCCCTGTCGACGAGCACACCAGGCCCTAGGTTCAACCCCAAGAGCTGTAAACGTGAGATGGCTCGGTAGGTTAGTGGGGCTTGTGGCCAAGCCCGAGGACCTGGGTTCGATCCCTGGGATCTACATGGTAGATGGAGAGAACTGACTGCTGCAAGTTGTCTTCTGACCGTCACGCACACACAGCAGCACCCAAACACCATGCCCTGACAATAAATAAATAACGGTTAAAGAAAGAAGAGGGGCTGGAGAGATGGCTCAGAGGTTAAGAGCATTGTCTGCTCTTCCAAAGGTCCTGAGTTCAATTCCCAGCAACCACATGGTGGCTCACAACCATTTGTAATGGGGTCTGGTGCCCTCTTCTGGCCCGAAGGCATGCACACAGACAGAATATTGTATACATGATAAATAAATAAATATTAAAAAAAAGAAAAGAAAGAAAGAGGGGCTGGAGAGATGGCTCAGCGGTTAAGAGCACTGGCTGCTCTTCCAGAGGACCTGGGTTCAATTCCCAGCACCCATACCGCAGATCACAACTATCTGTAACTCCAGTTCCAGGGGATCTGGCACCCTCATACATGCAGCCAAAACACCAACTAAATAAATGAACAAATGTTAAAATAGAAGAAGGAAACCCAGGGCTGGAGAGATGGCTCAGTGGTTAAGGGCATTGCCTGCTCTTCCAAGGGTCCTGAGTTCAATTCCTGGCAACCACATGGTGGCTCACAACCATCTGTAATGAGGTCTGGTGCCCTCTTCTGACCTGCAGACATACACACAGACAGAATATTGTATACACAATAAATAAATAAATAAATACTAAAAAAAGAGAAGGAAACCCAAAGAGAAAAAACATCATGTAATTGTCTCAGTACATGTTGAAAAAATAGTTTTTTAAAAAAAATTTCAAACCTATTCTTTATTACTTGATCATCACATAAACTAAAATTAAAATGTCATTTAACTTTATAAAATATTTATTTACTTTTCAGCATGGGTCTCAAGTGTCCCAGACTAGCTTCCAATTTACTACGTAGCCGTGGTAAGGATGATCTTGAATTCCTAACCCTTCTGCATCTACCTCCTCTGTTCTGGGAGTACTTATGCCACCTCTGTTCTCTTTCGCTCAGCTGCCTGTCTCCTAAATAAACCATCCTAAAGTCTCAGGTCTGTGATACTCAGGTCCTGGTATCTGCCATCCTTCCAAGAACCGCTGAGCAGAAAAGCCAGAGAGGAGGGTGGGAAGACCCAGACGGGCCTTGGGCAGCAGGAGAACTGACAGGATCTCCAGTCTGAATTGGACTAGACGCTGGGCTGGGCAGGAAGCCAGGCTACTCTTACCTGATGGTGTCCTCCAGGTGCCCCTCTCCAAGGAACCGAAGAAACATGGTCCGGAGGTCACTCCAGTACAACGTGCCCAGGCCGGAGTCGAGGCCAAACTCAGAGTTGACATCCTCGCTGACCACCAACACGGAGTCCCCGCATGCCTGGCAGGACCCTCGAAAGGCCACATAGCCCAGGAGGAAGGCTGGCAGGTGGTAAGATGTGGGTTCTCTCGTGCCCTCTTCTACCGGACCCCAGAAATGCCCCCAAGCCCAGGCCCTTCACTGTGGACGGGGGAGGGAAGACTCACCCCCAGTGAAGATCAGCAGGGCCGTCAAGATCAGATAGGGGGCAGCCTTTCGACCCACTGCAGCCCAGGGGATGGGAGTTGATCTCCCGGGACTGGAGCCTAAGGACTCAGGGCCCTTGAGTTCCATGGGGCAGAACTGGGCAGGCAACTCGACCTCTTCCTCCCTGTCTTCCTCTTCCTCCTCCAGATGGCCCAGATCAGGGCCTTCCACACGTTTATAGATGGTCTGAGAGGGTCTTGGGGACCAGTGTTGCTGTGTGGAGAGGGGAGGTAGGCATGAGATTAGGGGAGGGGCCTAAGAGTTGGGGAAGGATTAGGCAAGAACGGTGCCACTGACTTGGGCAGGGAGGGATCCAAGGGGGATTGGGTGGGGCCAGCCTTAAGCATTAGGGAGGGGCCTGAGAACGTGAATGAAGACCCAATGGGTGTAAATCCACCCCCCATGGTCTTACCGCTCTCTGCAGTAGACCCCAAAGTTGCTCCATGCTTGTGCCCCCTCCTGAATCCTGCAAGTAGTCCCCCCACAATGATAAACCGTTTGTGGAAGCCCCAGAGGGCCCCTTATCAGCCCTGGCAGGCAGTCTGAGCCTAGGCTGTTCCTCACCCCCCCCCCCATAGGGTGGGAGCACAGTCTGGCCTCGCTCCAGCCTTCCAGACATCACCCCTGCCCTCCCCCCTGACCTCCCCCGCCCCCCAGTTCACGCCAGAGGACAAGAGGTTGTACCTTCTCCTGCCAATCCTTCCACAAACCTCCCTGCTGCCGGCTAACAGCAAATCAATCAATTTTTTTTTTAAACCTCAGGGCAGACTTTGACCACCTTAGTTCCGGTCACAGGTGGGGGAAGGGGAGATACGGACAGGTCTCCCCCGCCCCCATTCCACCCTCTCAGTGTCCTTGCGGAAACATCGCTAGCCCCCTTGGAAACTTCATCATGAACATTTCTGCTCCTCCTCACTCCTTGCATCTGGCTTTTAGGCTCCCCAACATACAGCCCTCCAAATAACAGGGTAGCTGATCTTCCTGCTCCGACCCCCTGCCTCAGGTAGATCCCAAACTAGCGGCACCCTAGTGGGGTGAGTTGGTGGTTTAATCTGACCATAAAGTTGTCCGTCTGTTTGGAATCTTGCCTATATTAGTTTCTGGGGAGGAAGGGCTATAAATGAGCTAAAGGGGTCAAAAGGAATTGGTGAGTGAGTGGGTCCTGGAGTCAGGAAACTCTGGATTTGTGTCCACTTCACCATTAGGGGAGGCAGAAAACGTCCTGACCTAGCCACCTCGGCACCAGAACCGCTTGGGTCACTATAGGGACTTAATTAGGTGTTTCTCCCTTTAGGGGTCTTCCGCTCTCTAAGAATTTGATGAAGGGCTACAACGGCAGTTTATCTTCCAGCTTTAATTCCAAGCCGCGCCAAAGACACCGGGGCCTGCAGCATTGAATGGGAAAGTTCGGGGTCCACCTCACCCTCACTCCCGATCCGGGTCTCCCCTGGGAACCTGCAGATCCTAACCAGGTACAGAAAGATCTGAGCGGTAGGGGCTCACCAGTACCCCAGGCCCTGCCTCGTGCCTGTCAAAAGCGGAGTCCTGAGTAGGAAGACACAGCAGCCAAGCTCGCTTTAGCAACAGGTCCCTGGATTTCTTGGACCACGCTCTCAAGAAGACTCAAAGCCTGAGCTGAGGCCACACCCACTAGAGCACGCCCCCGGGATAGCCCCACCCCCGTATGTCCTTTTTTGGGGCAGCCCGGAGCTCAACCCACAGAGTCGTCCGGTTTTGTTACTTCCCGGGTCTTGACCCCCTGAAATCTAAGAATTTCGTGCTCAAGCATAGCATAAATGTAGCTGTGACCTACCTCTCACCAGACCCCCGCGACCCACTCCCTATCCCCAAGAAGATCAAACTCTTTTTATTTTCTTAAAACTTTTTTTTTTTAACTTATTTCAACTCAGAAACATCACAGTCTAAGAAGATGAGGGTAAGAGGGGAGAGGGCAATGGGAGATGGAGGGTTCAGCGCTTTTGGAGGCCTGGCTGGTAGAACGCCCCTCTGGCATCCGTCTCCCCACAACGCTGTGGAGGGGGTGGGTGGGGATTTGCGGAGGGGGAGGGGTCGACCTCAGGGGCACTTCCGCTCCACGCACTGCTTCCCGCCCTCTTCGTATTCCTGCTTGGAGATCCACATCTGCTGGAACGTGCCCTGGGAGAAAGCGGCGACATAAGCTGTCAGGATAGCCCTGGCATCGCCCCTCTACACTCCCAAGCCCGTTCTTCCTCCTTACCTGCATGCATCTCTCGCCTACATCCCTCCTCCTTTCTGGGAGTAATTTTAGGCAGCTCTAGCACGGAGGAGCTACATCTCCACCCACTCACTGGGGGATTCTAGGCAGGTGCTCTACCTCTGAGCCACCCCAGGCCCTTACTGGGGGATTCTAGGCAGGGGCTCTACCACTGATTCACACCCAGCCCCTTACTGGGGGACTGAAAATTCTTGGTTCCTATGTATATGTGCCTGTCTTTGCATGTGTGATGACTGGCCTACATGTACATATGGAGGACACCTTGGTGTCAGTCCTTTCCACTTTGAGGCAGGGTCTCTCCTTTGTCACTCTGTTTGGAGGCTAGATGACCTGTCAGCTTCCGGAGCCGCTCCTATCTCCTCCCATTTTGCGATAAGAGCGCAGAGATTATAGACAAATGCTCTCACTCTGTCCTACTGAGCCATCTTCTCCGCCCTGGCTTTTATTTTGACGAAGGGTCTCACTGAGTTCTCACAGATGTCTGCTCTGCTTCCACCTGATCGTTGGTGTCTCCAGCTCACGGAGTAGCCTTCTGGGGTGACCTCATTCGTCCCTGCCACTCCTGGGTCAGACACCCAGCTGTCTCTTGGCTACTTCCTGCTGAATACCCTTGACCTTAAACTTTCTGTGCCCATAACGGAACTCACCGTCTTCCTGTAGGCTTTGCCCAGATCTATTCTCCTTTGGTCTTGCCTCACCCCTCCTCCAGTCTCCTCCCCTCCCTCCCCTTTCTTCCTCTATCTTGCCATCCCTTCCCGTTACCGCCCTCCCCCTTCTTTTCCTGTTACTTCCCTTCTTTTTCTTTTCTCTTTCCCCTTCTGTTCCCATCCCCCAGCCCCCCCCCCTCTTTTTTTCAACAGGCTCTCATACAGCAAGGCTAGCCTTGAACTCTATGTAGCTGAGAACATGAATTCTATCCCCTAAACCCACATTAAAAAAACAAAACGAAACAAAACAAAACCAAAAAAAACCCTGGGCATCCCCAGCACTAGGGAGGCAGAGACAGACACATCCCTGAGGCTCACTCTGCTTAGTCCCCTTGGTCATGCCACAGATCCCAGGACATACCATGGGAAGATTCATGCGTGACACACTGTTGTCATTGAACCTCTCTTCTATCCCAAATTCCAGGATGTCCCCGCTGCTCCCTGCTGACCATGGCTGCCTCACCAAAACCATATCCTCACCAATCACCCTGCCTTCAGTCCCTCTGCTTCCCAATTTGTACCCCAAAGAGGCCCCTAGAGTTTGGGGAGCTCTCATTGATTGCCCTCTCTCCAAAACCAATTTTTTTCTTTTTCAGGGCTGGGGTTATGTCTCAGTCAGTAAAGTGCTGGCTTTACAAGCACAAGGACCTGAGTTTGGTCTCCAGAACCCCTGTAAAAACTGTCTGTGCTGTAATCCCGGTGTCAGGATATGGGACAGGATTCGAGTCTACTGGGTAGCCAGCCTAGTTGAATCGGTGACTTCTGGAACAGTGAGGGTCTCAGCCTCGACAAATGAGGTGGAAGGCACCTGAGGAATGACAGCCCAATTTGTTCTCTAGTGACAGGGCCTTGCTATGTAGGCCAGACTAGCTTGATCTTGAAATCCTCCCGCCTCGCCTCTCTACTGCTGGGATTACAGGTGTGACTAGGTACGTGTTGTTGAATAAAATGGACAACCTTCAGGGTCTTCTCTCCAAATACTCAGTGGTGTGCCCCTTCCCTCTCTCACCAGTGAGGCCAAGATGGAGCCCCCGATCCAGGGGCTGAACTTGCGCTCCATGGTGCTGTTGCTGGCGATGAGTTTCAGCCGCATGCTCTGGTGGGGAAAGGGGTTGGGGAAACTGAGCTTCAGCTGCATGCTCTGGTAGGGGAGAAGGGGTTGGGGAAAACGAGCATCTAGATCCTGGGGACGGACAAGGTAGGCAGGAGGAAGCCACAGAGGCAGGGCTCTGAGCATTCCCATGTAGGGGAATCAGGAGGGATTTGGGGTTCGAAGAGCTAAGCCAGGGTTGGAATCCAGGTGCCCTGAGTGGGGTGGGCTCTTACCGGTGGGGTCTTCTGGGAAAGCTCCCGATTAAGCCTGTCTGTGAAGCCCTGGAGCAGAGTGTTGCCGCCAGTGACAATGACACTGCCATAGAGACCCTGGGAGCAGAGAGAAGGGCGAGCCTGAGGATAGCATCCTTCCCTTTCCCCAGGTTAGCCCTTGGCCCCTTCACCCAGCCTTAGGTCCTGGTCTCACCGGGCGAATGTCAATGTCACACATGCCGATGCTGGTGGTAACCACGTGGCCCACTCCTAGCATGGTGTTCCCAGACAGGCCCTGGGGACAAAGGTGATGTGAACTCTGGGGACTCTGCCTCCTTTTCACCCAAACCCCTGTCATCTTTCCCAGACTCCCCCGCCACACCTCTGGATTCAAGATTCTAGCTAGCCCCACCCAAACCAGCACCCAGCACCCAGCCAAACCTTCACATTGGAAGGATCAAACAGGCCCTCAGGGATCCGAAGTCTCTCAGCGCCGTAGTCTGTGTTGTAGCCATTGGGCATTTCATAGTGCACGGTGGGCATTTGTGCGGCCACCCTGCCCAAGAGAGAAGCAAGGCTGTCTGGCGTGCTCATGCAGATCTGCTAGGTGGGCACTCGAGAGGCTCCCATGAACCACAGTTCTGCCCCTCCCCATCATAAAGCCCAGGCATGCCTCCAACTCAGTAAGTGGCAGAGGCTGGCCTTGAACTCTTCTTCCTCCTGTCTCTGACTCCCAAGTGCTGGGTATCAAGCTTGTACCACCAAGATCTGTAGATGTGATGCTGAGGATGCAAGCTGGAGCTTTGCATGTATCAGGTAACCTGAGCTATAATCTCAGTGCCCCTCCTCCGCTTTGCATGTACCAGGTAATCTGAGTTATAATCCCAGCGTCCCTCCCCCTGCTCTGTAAGACAGGCTGACCTGGGACTCTCCATCCTCCTGCCTCGACCTCCCTGAGTGCTGATATTACAGGAACTTCAGTATGCCCAGTACCAGTTGTGCCCCCTTTCCTTCCCGTAGTGCTCAGTTCTACTCACTGCTCATCGTAAGGGGAGTCCGACACCTGCAGCACGGAGGCCTGGAAGTCTTGGATCACCTCCTGAGAAGCAGGGAGGGGTGAGGTCTGGCCGCCCCCGTCTCCATCTCGAGCCCCCGTTTCCCCAGCTCCAGTCCACCCACGGTCATGCCCTCCCCTCCTCTAGTGATGCAGCGGAGGACCAGGGGCTGGCAGGGGCGGGGGGGGGGGCAGGGGGCTTTTCTCAGCTACAGCCTCACATTGCACATGTAGTTATGCCAGGACTTGGAGACTTGGGGTAGCTTCTCCTTCTTCTTCCAGTTTGGGGGAGCTCCCTCCCGCACAGGCTCCTGTGAGGACACAGTCTTTGAGCGTCCTTCCCCAGCTGGCACTTGTCCAGCCCATTGGCACATCTGCCTCCCTAGCAGCTGCCTGCCCTCTCTGCAGCTGACCGGCCTTGAGGGGACAGAGACAGGGAAGTGAAGGTAGGGAAAAGCTGTCCCATACGTGAAGCACACACTACAGACGTGATCAGAAGGACCTGCCTGCATCCGGGGCTAGGGAGGGAGCTCAGGGGGTAGAACACTTGCCCAGCCTGCAGGAAGCCCTGGGTTCCAGCCCCAGGCCCAGCACTGAGGAGGGAGAGGTGGAAGGACTGAGAATTCAGAATCATCCTCGGTCACATGGTGAGTTTGAGGCCAACCTGGGCTATGTGAGATCCCACCTCAAAACACTGGTTAATGGAGCTTTCCTTCCTCATCCGGGATGCTTTCAAATGATGCTCTGGGCCTCGTGGCTCTTCCCTGGCAGAGGAATGACTCCTACCTGAGGTTTTATTTTTGGTTTAGATTTTTTGTTTTGTTTTTGAGATGGGATTCATGTCATCCAAGTTGGCCTTCAAACAGCCAAGATTGATGTGGTGCTGGGATTCAAGTCAAGACTCCTTCCATGTCAAGGCTTTGCTAACTGAACCACATCCTTGGTTCCTGTTTGTCTGTTTGTTTCCTTTCGGAGAGAGAATGACTTGTGTAGCTCAGGCTGGCCTCCCTTGGTCAGTTCCCAAGGCTGACTTTGAACTCCTGACTCTCCTGCCTCCACCTCTCCAGCTTTAGTTAGGATTATCAATGTGCTTCACCACGTCTGACTCAAGAGTTTGGATTTGCCAGACTCTAGAACCCACCCCACTGGCCCTCACGCATCTGCTGTCAGCTGACTGCATGGCCTCAGCCATGACTTGAATTTCCCAATTTCCAGAAAAAGTGGAACTGGAACCTCTGGGGAACTTGCTCCACTATCTTATGG